CTCAAGCCAGCTATGAATGATGCAACAACACACTATTTTGTGTAAAAGATGAACATATTGTGAGTTACATTTGCCTCATCACTGGATTCTGGTAGCCAGAATTGAGAACATCATTAAAGTATTATTTATTGTTCTTAACACAAATCAGGATTTTATGACAACTGCTTTAAGATGGTTATGTTTACTGTCATATCTCATCAAACAGACAAAATGGTACATATTAGATATTAGCTGAAGGTTTAAAGATTCTTTTATTTTTGGGTGTTTTGTGCCTTTATGGAGAGATAGGACAGTAGATAGAGTCGGAAACCAGGGAGAAAGAGAGTGGAGAATGACATGCAGGAAAGGAGCCACAGGTTGGATTTGAACCTGGGCTGCCTGCTTGGAGGTCTACAGCCTCCATACATGGGGTGCACGCGCTAACCACTGCGCCACCAGCGCCCCTGAAGTGTCATACTCTTAATAATAAAAGAATATAGCATATTTGTATTGGACATTGTATACAGTCTCTGTGACCTTACAAATTGGTTTGTGAAATGCCTTTTTAAGTCTTGACTTTGACATTTTAGCTGTAACCATATTGGCTTTATGAAGCTCGAGGCTGCCAAGTTTGGATGAGAGGCTGTGAGCTTGAGATTAGTGACAGGTTGGCAAATCCTATTTTATTAATGTATACAATAAAACAGTCTAAACCCAAGGCTAATTCATTAGCTGGCTATTTATGTAGTCTATCTATTGTGAAACCAAATCAGAAAACACTATTTAAGAAGGCAGAAGTGACATCATGGAAACATAAATTTCTTCTATCTTAGGTTGCTGGTTGTTGTTCATAAAAGGGGAGCAAAAAAAATACTGTATGAGGATACGTTAACATATTTCATTTATAATTTAATGCAAACTATTGAATCAATTTGACGGTTAACGCTTATTAAATTAACATTCATTCGAAAGTACAACTTTTACACGTTTAATGTTTTTGATGAAACTTTTTCATTTTCTTCTTTCTACAGAGACAGGTCATTTTAGGACACATCTGTACACCTCTGCTATGAAATTATGAATGGCCATCTTGAAATGTTTGGAATTCAAGCCAAGTTTTGCCTGCTATTCTCTGATTAATGAACATTATCATGTATTTTTAGGCTCTTTCCTGTGGCTGTCCCAGGCACCCAGCCAGTGGGTAATCCACCAAAACACAGGAGATATTTTATAACAGTGCCTGCCATACCATCAGTCTTAGTATTAATAGTTGCTTGTCCTAGCAATCACTATGTGACAGCCGAACATCAAAGACAAACACTAAGACACACAGGACAGATAAAAGGCCGGGGGAGAACTTAATATATGACGGACACAATGCTATAGTGAGGCAACTGCATATATATGATACAATCCCTGTGAGAATATGAAGTTTAAATCTTATCTAACATGCAGTCTTAGACTGCAATGACTTACATAAGACTGCAATGACTTACATAACGCCAAAACTAAAAGCCTAAATGTAGAAGTAGGCCTGCTTCAGTCCCTAAAGACTTCTGATAAATGTGGCAGAGTTCTTCCTCTTGTTTAACCGATCATAAAAACTGATCCTGCCCATAAAAATAAAACCACAACAACAATTTAGGCTCGGGTCAAGCATATCAGGCTTGTGACAAAGTTGACACTAGAGCATTCTAGATATAGACTCACACTGAGTCTAATGAGGATTCATAGCTCCGACAGACTGATGAGAGGGCAGGAGCGCTCTCTTTCTTCCTGGAAGCTCTCTGTTATCAACAGATTTAAATTCCAGAGCCCACTGAAGCTGGCCAGCCGTGGGGCATTTCAGGGTGAACACAATATCTTCCATATCTGTGTTTGTTTGATTACGGTGACCGAGTCACAAACGTATCAATGAGATTGTTTTAATTCTTCATTGAGACAGACTATGCCGACTCAAACCCTTTTCTTAAGTTTTTTGTGATGTTTTTGAGATGTTTGACAAAAAACACTTCTATTTTTTTCCATCTTAATATCCCATTAGAACGTAAAAAAATGCCTTCACAGACACCTGTGTTTCCGGGGCCCTGACAAATCTCAAAAATATAACTGAATGGATGTGATTATGATCCATAGCAAACTTTTACTGGCCCCACGTTGCTTTCATACCTTTCACATGAGCTGTTACCTGCAGGCTGTTTTGCCATACAACTTGTTAGAAAGTTTTAACCCATTAATAATCTTTGCTGTAAGGTAAAAAAAAAAAAATGCTGTTTCTGCAGCACATAGATCAACAGTTCATATGACACCCACCCATCTGCAGCATTTTCAGTTTTAAAAAGTACTATGTTACCTCAAATCATCAATCTTGTGGCCGATGGTCTCTTTTTTTTTTTTTAAATTGAATATTATATTATGTTTAGATTTGCTAACATTGTGTTTTTTACTCATATTGTGTGTTGATAACCTGCTGCTGTAACGCCACAATTTCCCCGTTTGGGATCAATAAAGTAATTATATTCTATTATTCTATTCTATTTTACTGCTGTAGGTCATAAAGAGTCATTTGTATTCATTTTAGTCGGTTTGATATCCAACTTAAATTTCCTTATAGTAGCTTCAAATTGTTTGATGTATGAACTTAGAGAAAGGTTGCTATTGGGAGCTGAACAGTGTGCAGCATTTCTTGCTGTGCACCTCTATGTATTTTGTTGGATGTGCGCACATACATTTTTCTCTTTTTGTATATGAACTAACACATCTAAGCCTTGAGGTCCTCCTTCAAATGTGCCTCAGGGTAAAGAGACAGCCCTCCACGGTGGCGCACACTCAAGAGAGTAGAGACAGAGCGAAAGAATGACACTGCCACTTTCCTAATATAGACATGACAAACTGCTCTGTCCCACCCGGGCCAGCGCTCCTCCCTCCCTGATCATAAATAGTCCCAGAAAGAAGTCGACACGCTCCATGGCGCTTTATCGTTAATGAACGGACCGTAAATTTAAAGAGCCATTACGCACAGCCTTTACACATTTACATAGGAGGCTGTCAGGGGGGGTAAGGAGGTGGTGGGGAGAGGTTAGTTAGGTTTCATCTTTAAGAAACCCGCAGCTGTTAAGCACAGCTCAAGATCTGGCCAGTCCGCACAGGAGGGGAAAGTGCTCAATCCCAGTACACCGACTCTGTATGAAGATTTCCAAGAGGACGCGCACTGAGTGCAGAGAAGACGTTGACGCACCTCTCAACCCACTGCAGCACCCCCACACACAAACACACACACACACGTATTAGGAGAAAAAGTCCAGCTCACCTAAGGTTTCGGGAAGAGACCTCTTCCCGGAAGAACTCTCACTGTATCTGTTGTATAGCCTTTACGTAGTTCTCCTCCTCCTTCTGCTGGTTTTTATTCCTTTAGGTGGTAATCCTCCGACCCGTTTTCCAAGAGTGGGAGACGCACCGGACAACTGCGTGACGCTCCTCGGCAGGGAAAGAGAGAGGACCTGAGCCGAGCTGGGAGAGGGGAGGGTGTGGGTGTGTGTGGGTGGGTGAAGGGTGGGTGCCGGCTATTTTAGAACGGGCTCTGTCAGTGCAGGAAAACGTGACGCGCGCCTGGTACAGGGGGTAGCGCGTCTCCGTGGGGTCACTATCACAGCTGGTGGCCTCTAACAGAAGAAATGTGATTAAGGGGAAGTGGGATGTTTAGAAGATCAGTAAACGCACACAGGTGACCTGATGCTACCTTCAGATACTTCACTCCTGCAACACATGCAATCTCAAACTGAAAAAAAAAAGTTGGTAAGCCAGAAGTTTGTTGCATCGGATTTTACAGTTGGTCTGACCATTTGGGATGTGCCTTTATATTTGAAGCAAGAGCTTTCATTGTTTTTCATCAATAGTGTCAATAGTTACCTCACAGGAAGTATATAATGGAGATAACCTGTTAGAGCTAAATTAACCAGGACAAAGGGAGAGTGTTAACCTTGTGGTGAGTGCGTTCACCTGACACTGCTAAATATAGAAAGAACAGCTGTAGTTATGAGTGTATTATTCATATGTAATAAAATATATCAAACTGGTTACTGAACAACACAATTAAAAACATCTATTTTATATTGAAGTCAGCTGAACATTGGTGGATTTTGAAATGTATTTGCAAGAAAATTGTACTTAGTATGACTTCTAAGTCATTTTGAATACGGCTCAGTTATGTCAAAAATGTAAACAGGTACTGTCGTCATGTTCTTTAAAGTATTATGACTGTAAATAACTGCAAAAACACTTAATCTCAATAATTGCCACTGTTTAATGGTCACAGTTGAAGCACATGATAGATAAAAAAAAAAGACTATGTACACTGAAGTTTTAAAATCAAACGAAATAGAAGTTAGGCTTTGACAACATACACACATACCCAACAGTTGCTACAATCTACTCATGCTCCCCCAAAGTAGCAACCATACATAGAAAAAAGCCACATCCAAATGAAAAAGGGAGTAAAGTGCATGTATGACAGACCTGCCTGAACAGACATTTCTGATAGACTGCAGAGAAGCTCCACTTCCAACCACAGGCACACTCCTTAAAAATGTGTACAAAAAAAGAGAGATAAAAACAAAAACTAAAGTGTACACCCACATTGCAAAGTTGTGCTACTCACTCACACACAGACACAAACAAGATATAAAAACATGTTCAGCTCCTACATTTTCAAAACTCACGATACAGACCATTACATCCTAAAGAAATAGCAGAAAAATCACAAATATACACTCTGCCTTAGCTCCGAACGCCCTAACCCCACACAGAAATACATACAGAAGATGTCCAGTTTGAGTGGCATACGAGCTGAGAGGTTGAAGAAGAGAGATGATGAGAAACATCACTTGTTGACAATGACACTGTAATTGTTTCTGACTGACTTTCCAGGAATCCAGAGATTGACTTTTGTGCAGGTCAGGTTTGGTTGAGACTTACTGAGGTATTGTGTAGTCAAAAAAAAACATTACAACAAACAGCAGGCCTTTTTCTCACACACTTGTTTCAACAAAGTTCTTTACAGCTATGCAAACGTTTTCAGTTGATATTCCTGTTGCCATCTCTGGATACACATTTCTGAGAAAGCGACTCATCTGATGTGGCTGTGGTTTTAGCTGATCTCTTTTGTGCTTGGATTATAGACTGCATATTAAGATGGACGGAGAAACAGCTGTCCGGGAGTGAAGGCGTCAAAAGATGTAAAACTCCTGTTGAATAGGTCACAAACCGGCCTCTATTAACAGAGTAAACAGATAGGAAATGTGTCAAACTATAAACTCTAAATGCCCGTCAGATACATTTTTCTTCACTCTGGTTTAGTCATGATATTTATCATTATCATGCTGTTTTGTGTTCAAGTCATCCTGTTTCACAGATGTTTCTTTTGAATTATTTTGATGCTAGAACCAGCATTAACTGCCATGATTGAAACTCTGTTGATGAATGCTGTCCTGCAGCACTGGGCACCAGACTAACAGAGTACAGCAGAAACAGCTAAAGTAAAGGTAAATGAACACCAACACAAGAGTCATTTAATTTACATAAATGAGTGTCTGCTTCAAATCGGCACAAAAATCTGTTCCACTGTGGACTGTACCCACCTGAGGGATTTCTTGCCATTTCATCTGCCAATTTTCGTTTAATTTTAGTGGAAGCAGCGCAATGTTGATATTCTGGCTTCATCCTGTTCAATGGAAGGAGGCTGAGGCATGCTGTCCCTTTGTGTATACAGTCTATGGTTTGGATACACTGCTGCTAGCAAAAAAGGTCTCAAGACAAAGTCTCTGATAAATCATTCCAACTTCATCTTTACATGTACATTTTGAACCGATTGTGAAGGTTTGTTTTGTCAGCCAGTTAATTTACACATCAGATTGTACCAGAAGAAAACTGCATCTTTTTTTTTTTTTTGTTTGCAACCCAGTACAACAAGCACATTTTGATGATGAGACAAGAAAAGACAAGAAGTGGATAACAGAGGCTACATTCCACCTAAGATCAGGTTGGATTATTCAGCCAACCAACAGAGATCAAGTACATTTATATCAAGTTGATAACTGTGAAACCAGCCATGATTGAATATGTGCAGGCTCAGGCTGTTAGCATCGGAAACACGATGGTCATTGGAATGATTGTTTTTGCTCCTTTCTGAAAAATGTTGATAACCCATCATTCTTCCAATTTCCCCTATTTCAATGAACACAACCATCATAGCCTTTTCACTGTTCATTCACTGAGCCTCATATCGCAGATCTTCATGGGAAAAGCATACAGATAAGAAACAACTTAACACATCCTTTAAGGCAAGAGGCACTGGTTTGTTTTCGCTGAATAAATCAAACATATGCACTTGATTTGTGCTCGTTCTCTCGTTCTCTCCCTCTCACACACACACACACACACAAAACACAAACACACATGGTGAGGGTTACATGGTGTGGTAAAGGGTACTACTAGCAGTTCTTTTTTTAAGCCGCCTCAGGGGATGAGTCCTTCCATATTGCTGCCTTGCTGTCATTAGCATCAGCCCAGGTAAATGCAGAGAGTCTTGGTCAGAGTTAGGTAGTCCCTGTGGATATGATGCTGGAGGTTGTGCAGGTGGAGAGGTTTCATGATCCTTATCAAGGCTCTCTGCATCAATAACAAGGCTTTCTGGTTGCTGTTGGGCTAAGGGGGGAGAGTTGTGGACCCGCTGTTTCTTAGACTCGTCGCTAACGGAGTGGGTTGAAGGTTCTGCTGTAGATGGAGCTACCGAGGTGCGGCTGAGCTCCCACTCACTCAGGTCATTTGCGAGCAACTCCAGACAGCCCAGTTTTGCCAAAGAGGCTGAGCGCTTCATAAGAGACGGGGGGGTCAGTCCAGCCTGGCGAATCCTGGCTTCCACTTCTCTGACCCTTTTCTGGATGCTGCTGCCTCGCTTTGGAGTGGTTCCAGCACTGAGCCCAAAAACCTGGTCCACACAGCAGATTCCGCCCATGCTCACCTGCTGCAGGAAGGCACCGAGCTCGCACAATGTCTCCCACGTCTCCCTCATGATAATGTCACCTTGAGGTCCATCTGTGGAGCACTCCCAGTCTGTGCCTGACTCGAGCTCTGTCACGCCCTCCAAACACAGGAAGTTCACTGAGGCAAATGGGGAGTGGGCAGAGCTGAGGAAAGGGGAAGAGGTAGAGAGCTTTCTAGTATCAGCAGGCTGGTGTTTTTGTCCTTTTGTGCTTCTGTGAGTATTTCCTAGATCACTCAACTCAATTAAATCTCCACTGTCCCTCTTAACTGGTCCATCCATCACATCTTCTTGCTCCTCCTGCATGCTGCTAACATCTGACACCTGTGAACCAACGGCTGTATCCTGGGTACTAGACATTGTAAAAGGGGTGACACTAGGTGGATTCCGCCGAGAAGAAGATACGCTGCTTGAGAGGGATGGTGGAGATGAGGAGAGTGATGGCGTCTCATGCTCCTGTTTCATTATCTGCTCCAGCTGTTTGGTGACACGTCGCACGGACACCCTTGTCAAGTCGCTGTGGAGACAAGCAGGATCTGCCTCCTCCTCCTCTTCTTTGTTCCTCACTTCCTCTTTAACATTCTCAGCTTCCTTGTTTATCAAAACATCTGCAACCTCCGATTCCTGCCTCAACTTCCTAGCTTCCTGGTCCTCGGGGCCCTGAGGTGCTGGTTGACTAAGAAGGCCTTGAGATGCGTGCTCTGTGATCTGCACAGGAACCATCATTTCCTACAAAGATAGGAACATAATATGAATGATTATTCAGAGTTGATGCTAAATGAAAGTTTTAGTTTATCCATTAAGTTTTATCAAAGAACCTCTAAATTAAAACAGATTCAGATGTGAAAGATAATCTAAATGAAGAGTTCCACCGTTTTGCCACAAGGTGGCACCCCTGGACAGTGCAAAGATAAGATGTTGTGCGTTTAACAAGATTCTAAAGATTACCATCCAATCACAGTATCATTTTGCCAATCCATACTGCCTTACTTCTTTTTAAAAGCATTTGATCTCTTTTCCTCTGATCTGTTTACTGCTCCTAATATATTCATCTCGTTCAAAGTACTCTTCCAACGTCCATTATTTACTGGCCTTTAATGCTTTTATTTATTTATTTTTGTATATATATTTTTTTCAGGTTTTCAGGTTGTATTTGGTGTGTGCTATCTTCTCATAATCTTTCTATTACTTTGATTTTTTTATTTATCTATATTCCTTAATGCTTTATCTACTTTTCAAGCTCTGCCTGTTTTATCACTTTTATTTGCATGAATACTTGTAATCATTTTGTTAAATTTTAACTTTTGCTCAGAGGAGTCGGTAAAATCTACAAGAATATCTTCGACAAAAGATTGTTTTGTTACCTTCTGCGCACTGCCTTTGGGCAGTCAGCTTTCTGTGTGAAAGCAACAACTCAGTGGACCGCCTTGCCAGACAATATGAAGTACTGTGATTCTATCAGCAGCTTTAAAAATAAACTTAAAAATCTGATGAAAGAATCTCAAATCTGGAACCACTAATCTTGTATTACTGCATTTCAGCATTTAACTTGAATAATATATTGTGTGAGAGAGAGAGAGAGAGAGAGAGAGAGAGAGAGAGAGAGAGAACAGCTCTGGGATACTCTGTTATGTTGTTATAGTTTATTTTATCATTATTTAATTTTGACCTGCCGAGGGACTGCTGATGTAAACTAGCTTTAAGCTAACTCTGGCACAATGCATCAAATGACAACATGTATGTCTAATATTCTACATGGTCCCTTTACAAATAAAAATAAGTTAAAACATTTTTTACAGACTTCTCTCTGTTTGGCCTGACTGTTGAATGTTTATACTGTTATCTTCCAGAGTTTCTGACTTTACTTTAGCGGTCAAAGTACTTTGTAAACATCTATATTTAAAGGTGCTTTATCAATAAAGTCATTATTATTATTATTATTATTATTATAATAACAGAAATATTGCCTTGGAAAAGGAAAGAAATAAATCAGCACACTTATGGACAAAGACAATTGAAAGACCCGGGAGATGCTTTGAAGGGTCTCTGTGACCAAAACTTGGACATTAATGTTGATTGGGAAAGTTAAATGAAAGTACAGCAGTTTTACATTTTTACAGGCAGAAGTCTTACCTTCAATTTTCCTTCCTCCTTCCCGCCACTAATCGGGACCTCCTGAAGTGGAGGTTGCTGTTCCTTTCCACAACTCTTCGGCTGGGGCGGCTGCTGTACAGCAGCACAGTGACTTTTACCATCTTGACTCATTCCTTTAAACTTTTCCCTGGCACTGAAAAAGTTGATGTGGTCTGCACTGTGTCCAAACAACATCTCACTGTCCTGTGGAATGGCACTGGGGTAGCTGATCAAATCACTAGTGGAGGAAGAATGGGCTACTATACACATCTGTTGGTCAGAGACTGTTTTTTTGACAGGCACTGGTGCAGACAGACATTGGGGTCCTGCTTGGTGCGTGCTTGGTGCTTGTGTTGTCGTGGGCTCAGGCACTGATACAAGTATGGGTTTTATCACAGGCAGAGAGCAGGATAGCACCTGTGGTTTGCCAACCTCGTCCATGCAGGCTGGAGTTGGGGATGGAGCAGGGGAGAGGGGGATGTGGTGGAAGGATGGAGGCGGGTGAGGCTGGCCCACTAAAACACTTTGTGCAACAGTCACCATATCTGTTTTCTGAAGCTCGGGCACCACAGTGGCGGCCCTTGGCTGGGAAAGGGGAGGCGATGACGGCTGCTCCTCAGAGTCACATGAGCCATTAGAAAGGGGGGGAGATAAGGGAGACACGGATCCAGCTGTCGACTTGGGACAGGGGGATCCCAACTTGTTGATCTGGACTACAGCAGAGTGAGAAGGGGCCTCAAAGCTGGATGCCAACACTCCTTCAGGGGCTGAAAATCTGAGCTTGTTGCACTGGATACCTGTATCAGGTTGGCTAGTGGAGTGTGTTGCTTTGCTTTTGTTGATTGGAGTTCCCAGTGACTCCAGCAGTTCTTTCACAGAAGGGCTTGGCGCGCTGCTGGCCTGGTTATGCGGGTCAGAGTGACCCAGGCTGTGTGGTTGGGCGTAAGACTTGGACAGCGGCTCATGGGCCTCAGATAGATCACTGTCAGAGTGAGAACGCCACAGTTTGTTGTGCCTCTGCTTGCTGCGGACGAAGGTGACAAAAGGAGTTGGGTTAAAGTCTGTTCATGTTACACCTACCATTTTGAGACCATAAATTCAGGAACTAAACATGCAGATCATTGTTTTAAGGTTAACATCCTCTTTGTCCTGTGTCACAGATAAATGAAATACAGTATATCATATGCACATTCCCCGAAACTAAGCTCTCCCCAACCTCTTCCAAGACAAAACAAGCTATTCTCAGTAAAGAAAGGTTAAAAAAACAAGAAAAACAGAAGTACAGATTACCTGACTAATGCAACTTAGATGCACTGCAAATCACACACATCCCTGAAATAAATTATACTATTAATAAATAAATAAATTATAATAATATTAATAAAGCTTATGGTTTCATATAAGGCTAGTTCCTCTTAAGATAAAACAGCTATAGATGAATCAGGGGAAAAAAATGGAAGTTGATAAACTGCAGTTTCGTCTCCCTACAACATCTGCAGGTTTGAATGGGAGCTTTTTTTTTATTTTTACTATAACTTTCTATGTGACCTTAGTTTTAACAACAAGTAAAGGACTTCGGGAAGAATCTTTGGAGCTCTTAGATGCTTCAACAGTCGTAACAAACTTAAACAAAGCAGTGAGTGCACACTGTATTAGTCCAGACACTTTACATACATTCACTGGCCGTGCAGAGCACTGAGATATTTTCCAGAAGAGGATCAAGATATTACTATTTATCATTGTATCATAATTATTAGTCATTTGGGCCTTTCTGAGTGACATGTAGAAGTTATTTACTTGCTCACCACAAGGCGATTAATGAAAAGACTTTGCTAGTTTGGGGACAGTTGCTCAAATTGTTGAAAAAATAATTATGAAACCCTGAAGCAAATATTGAAGTACTCTAAAGCAGGGTTGCTTTGTGTATCTTTGAGTACCTGGCCAGCAGTATGCCCTGATACTCCTCCAGCTGTCTCATGAAGGAGGGGTTAGGTTTGGTCACAGTTCGACGCTCCTTCACGTAATCAAATGCTTTTTTCAAGTCCCAGCCGTACTCCTTCATGGCGTAAGCAATCACTGTGGCAGCAGAGCGACTTATACCCATTTTACAGTGCACCAGGCACTTTGATCCAGCTTTCCTGGAACAGGAAGAAGAACAGAGCACACATGTCAGCCTAATATTTTCTAAGTTTGATAGAAGTTCTGATTGAGTCTTTGTCTCATCAGTAGCTACACATAAATTCTAAAAAAAAAAAAAAAAACATGGCTGACAGGAACTAGAAGAATGATACTTTTCAGAAACAAGATGATCTGAGGAAGAGAAAGTCATGAAATGTAAAACTCACTTGGCTCTGGATATAAACTTATAGGTGTCATTCCAATAAGCAAGCAGGTCTGTCGCCTCCTCATCATAAACACGGATGTTGTGGTACTCAAACACACCGGGGAAGAAGTTATCGATCTCCCTAGTTACATTCAGGATGTATTGAACCCTGAGAAAGAAAGAGACACGAACAAGAGGAGGCAGGAGAAGAACATGAGAGAGATTATTGGATGTGATGTTGGTACACACATGGCCTGTTTGGATAACAGACAAAATCTTTGTTCGGTCTTATTATATAAAACTGTTTTTTAATTGACTTTAGTACAGCCTGTACTGTGTAGTGGCTTTTGTTGTTTTAGCCCCCCTACTTACCCACTCTTCTGCAACTCTTCCAAATTGGATGCATTCCACTCAGATCCCTGTAGGAAACAAAAGCAATCCTCAGACTAGTTTGGAGCCTTCAACTGAGCTTTTCATAATGCTTTAATCCTGTAGCAGGCTGTCTTGACATCCAATGAGCACTCCAACCCAAACAAGAACAAAGTACCTTGAAATTTGTAGGAATTACACAAGACTATTTCATATTTTGCCATTTTCCCAGACATAGATTAGACAAGAAGTACAAGAAATGTTCATGCAATTTACTTGAGATTAATGATAAATTATTTACATCTAAGAGCTGAGACATTTCCTATTATTGAATGGATTTATTTATAAATTTCAGATTCAGATTTCTTGCTGTTCCTTATCCTGTAGACACGAGCAACTACACACTGAGACAACCTACCAAGAAGACGTGATCAAAGATCTCTGTAGGACTGTCCATCTGGCCCAGGATGACAATCATCTCGTTGTCGATGAACTCCTTAAACTCACGCAGGTTGCATGTCATGTGCATTTCCAGTGCTGTTCGGATCTGAGTAAAACACAAACACATAGATAAAATGTGAAACAGCAAATCCAAAAAGGCTTGACTGCAGGCCCTATATTTTCTTTTGAAAGCTCAACCCTGGTGACTAGAGATCTCAAACATGGATCCAATTTGTCGCAAAGAATGAGATAAAAAGCTTTTCAAATTTCACTGACGACTCCCTCTGTTCAGGGTGTATTAGATTCCAGCATCAGAAGCCCTGACTCACCTCTTTGCAGGTCACATTCTCGAGGTCTTTCTGCATCATGATCTCCCTTAAACTGGATTTGATCTGCCGCTCAGTCAGCTCTCTTTCTGTAGGACTGCAGAAACAACATGACATTAAAATAGAATATAGGACGGAAGTTCAAGTTGTGGTTTCTGTAAATATGTTAAAGTAAACATGAGGATGTCTGATCACACTTTATTACACTGTACAGTATGTACAACACCTAAAGGGAAGGATAGTGATTCAATTTCTACTTTTTCATTCTTTACTGTTGGCATAAAGTATATCAAAAATCTAAAAAAAACCCTAAAGATACAAGATGAATATCATGATCATATTTTCTAGAAAATTTGATGAAGAAAGGAGGAAGAGACTCAAAAGTTGGAAATATATACTTACATGTCAGAGAAGAGCACTGGTGAATCGGCACGGTGTGACTGCACATCCTGCATGGCATTCCACTCATTGATGCGTACCTGGTCGGAGCAGACCCTGCTCTGATAGTAGCTCACCCAGGTGAGGAACAAGCTGCCTGGGAAGTAGTTGTGACAACGAGCCACCTCGCACGCTTTATGGAGTGACTGCAGGGCCGACCTGTGAGAGAGCACAAGAGTGAGAATGAGATGGGATTTTTTAGAGGCAGGAGATGAAGGGGAAATCATGACCAAAATAGATACTTTTAAACTAATGGCTTTAAATAGATACGGGCAAACAATGATGTGAAATGGAAGATACACAGTAGAAACCAATGTCTACATAGTCGTGTGATGAATGGGTGTATGACTCACCACATGGCCTGCACAGAAACAGGCTTGAATACATGCACCCTGCTATCAGTTGACACACTGAAACCCCTGGAAGCAAGAAGAGAAGGAGAACAGAGGAAAGAAGTTCAATAAAGATAGACAGTCAGCCTTCTTGTCAGCCTGGTGTTTAATATGTTTTTATCTCTGTCATTAAAGCATGTTGTAATTTTTCTTACCCATCTCCGTCCAGGTGGATCAACGTGTCGCTCCATAAAGGCAAAACCATACCAACAGAACAAGAGCTGGAAGGGAAGAAACAGATTACCATGTTATGCTCTTTATCATAACAAGGGGGGGGGCACATATACGTGTGTGTGTGTGACTCACTTATCTACAGGACTGAAATCCATTCCCAACACCACGCTCTCCTCGGTGTCCTGACGACCGTTGGTTGAAACAACCACCATGTAGCGGGTGACCTGAGAGTGAACACTCTCCAAACGAACCGCCTGGAGCAGGAAAAACAAAGTTAAAGTGCTGAAAGTTCACACAAAATCTGAAGTTTGTCTCGGAGTGTGTGTTTGTGTTATAAGGTGTACCCACCAGTTTGATGTTGTCCTCTGGTCTGAGGACAGTAAACATGGTTTGTAGATGTTGCTGGATGTCTCCTAGTGGGAGGAGAGGAATAAAACATCAGCTTTCATCAGATTCAACATTCACTAAAACTTATAACGATTAATTTAGTAAAACAGTTTTGTTGTTGTGACAAAGCCTCACCTGCGTGTTTGCTCCGTAGCTGTGAGAAGCGAGAGGTGGAAGATGTGGTGGAGCCATTTCCTCGAGGTAGGAACAGAGCTGCTCCTTTAACTGTCAGGAAACTTTCACTGATGCTGGACAGAGAGAGAGAGAAAGAGAGAGAGAGAAAAGAAAAAAGAGTGAGTGATAAAAAAACTTTAAAATGATAAAAACGAATCCTTGAGGGAAGATCACGCAATAGACATTGTTGTGGGCTCAGGGAAATTGAGATTTTTATTATTTTTTTTATATTTATAGAACAAACTGTCCTAGTGCTGTCTTTGTAATGCTATAGTGGTGTTCTGGTGTGGTTGTTTTTAAGTCCTTACTGTATTGTTCTTCAGCATGAAAACACCTGCTAATGTAAAGAGTATGAAGGATTTATTCATCTATAAAGGTGAATGAGTTTCAATATTGCAGATTTAGTCTTGTGTTATCTTAAAAATTACACATGACATCCTGTACAAACATCATATGCTGAACTATAATGGGAAGATTTGTGTGCCTTTAAGAGCTCAGGACTTGACTCGACTGTGAGGTTGGAAGCAAACAGCAGCTGTCTCCAATAACATGCCGGCTTAACTGAACTGGACATGTTCATAAAATGACGGGGGGCACAACTAACAACAGGGTGACAACAGAGAGGACAAAAGGAAATGTTGACTCATTTTTTTTTTTTCTTGAACCAGTACACTTTCCTGCAGTTACAAATTGCAACTCATTGTGTTTTTGTAACAAGCAGTTACACTTTAAGTTTCACTTAAAGTCTAAATTTGTTACTTAAGACTTGGGGAAACGAATAAAAGCCATGGCTAAGGCTGAGAAAAAATAAAAAAGAGACAGGATGTCTCATTGTGTCTGCTCTGAGGGCGAGAGGGACAAAAATACTGAAGAAAAGAACATTCTAAAGTAAGAAAAGTAGACTTCAAATATTTGTGATAAAGAATGTCATACAATGTTGTATTTGATGTTAAGTTTGTTTTTTCTAACACAGTCTCATGCCACACATCTGTTTCCATCTCAACTTCTCTGATAGTGAAATTCAAACAATTTGTGACCATTTTGAATAAAACTGGATCTGTTGTTACAGCATCAAAGAGTCTTCTAGTGAAACTCTTAATGGTCAAGTGAAAAAGATAAGATAAGATATGATAGGATATACTTCATTGTCCCAAAAGGTAAAATAGTTTTGGACTTTGTCCTGCAGTTACAAGTTAATTAAAAAGTGAATAAATATAGATCATACAAAACATGTGAAAATTCCACATAAAAACACCTTCCTGTAGCAGTGACATATTGATATGTGCCATGGCCCCTTGGCCGATCTTATGTTTCCTCTTATATTTTCATATAATAGCGGAAAAAGCCTTGATGGCCAATAAAGGGATAAATAGCCATAGTAACACTGGCAAGAAAGACAATTAATGAAGCTAGTCAATGATGCTGAAACTACACACAAACCAAATTATAAAAAGAAAATAAAATTGTTCATTTGGATGCTAGACTGCATTGTGCATCTACTGAAAGGAGCCCCAGTCCTTTAACCTCTAACAGCTGAGTTAGCACTCTTTTGCCGAATGTAAATAATGGACATATGTCTCATGAAAGTGTAAATAAAAAGTAAATACAGACAAACTATGCACCACTTTTGTAAGTCAAACAAACAAGTGGCATTTGAATGCCAATTCTAAGAACTAGTTCTCCCTCAGCTGATAGAGAAATCACATCCTATCATTCTTAAAAAGATTCTGCTACACAGTGAGCCCTTTCAGCCGTGCTCCACAGGATTGAATGAGGGGAAATCCATACGCCTGGTTCAAGAAGAGCAAAGACAGAAGACTGCATGTGAGTAGATAAGTATGGCATGTGGGAGGCATTTGACATGAAGCAAAAGGAAGGAAACGTCTTCCTGCGGACAGTGACTCTGCTGCTGCTGTGCTGTCACATCCTTCCCATGAAGATATCATGGGAATACTGCATGTCTGTGTCATAGCAGACCATTGTTACTGAAAACTCCAAAGCAGGTTAAATGAGAAACTATGTCAAAAGAGGATGTGAGAGGATTTGTCCAAGCGGGTTTAGTAAATAAGAAAAGCTGTCCAACCATTGACTGGTCTGGTACAAACTTAATGTAACTCTAATAGACAATCACACAGTGAAAATACAATAACCCCGAGATGTTCCTTTGAATCACAGGTAGGCCACTGTCACACAGCAAAGCCAGCGGGTTTCAGCAGAGTGTAACCAGTTAACTTACAGTTTAGAAATGTTCCCCTGAGATATCACGGAGTTCTCGGTGAAATAAGGTCTCATCTGCTCCCCGCAGCAGGCGCAGAAGCAGCCGGCGGATGTGCTCCGAGGCGCGGTCTCAACACCGGGAGGCATGGCTGCTCAAGTGGCGGCGACAAGGCGCTACAGAGGCGGACTGTGGTGGTTACCAAAAGACTACGATGAAGTGTGGGGCGGTGGGGTCACTCCGAGGACTTGAAAACACAAAAGATCGTCGAGCGGTACTAAATTTAATAATCTGGAAAGAACTAATCAGACGTTTTGCTTCTATCGAAAATCGATACTGAAGATTTTTTTAATAACACACGGTATTGTTGGCTAATATTGAGAGAAGGCCGATATGTTGACATATTTAGCACAAGCTGTGGCAGAGCAGGTGCCTCATAACATCTGCTGAGTGGTTCTGCCCCATTTGTCTGCAGCAGGCTGCGGTAAAAGTGCCGCTGAGGGGAGGAGACACGTGTGGACCAATCAGCGAACAGAGCGGTGTGTCGGCGGCTTCAATCAGGCTTCAATGAGAGGAGGGGGTGACGCATGACAGCCACCAACCACAACACTGCCGTTTAGACACGTCTCTAAGAAAGGCCTACCAGTAGATTATTTTCAAAGGTAAACCAATAAAACAAAAAAACTTTTACGAATGTTAATGTTGATTACCAAGTTAATGTGATTAAATGATGGTCGACAGATAGGCCTAATATTCCAAAAATGTATGACTATAGGCTAGAAGACAACGAGATGTAGCCTAAACTGATATTTAAGATTTAGTTTAAACTATTCTCAGATCAAACTCAGAAGAAAATGGCTTCCTAAACCGACAGAGGTAAATAGGCTTCAGCTTTGTGGCTTAAGGTTTAGTCAACCGGAGATAAATACACTTACATGCAAGGATTTGGTACTTTATTGCCTAGTATCTCAGAAGAAAATTAAGGTAGGCCTAAATGTTCACTATTTTCTGTTGCTACCATTAGGGTCAAGTTAAGATATCAATTCTAATTTTCAGAAATTCCGCCTTGATTTTTATGAACTTTGTCACATTTTTTATAACTATCAACTTAAAGTCAATGTAAAGATCGATCCAGGCTGAATGATCGGCTGAAACTGAACTTTTCATTCCATTTCACCTTAAAACATGGGCAGTAAGTGATTCGTGCGCTCCAGTACTTTCTTTGGATTCTGAAAGTCTGAAGGAGTCCTTTGAATTATTTTTTATATAAACTTTTCATTTAGGGAACCTGAGTTTCCAAAACTCCAAGTTGATTTATTAATTAGGCTAAAGATTGGTGCCTTGCCTACTACCTAATTAAACTGCCATAAAAACATGATTAAGGCTGTGATTGCTGCCACTTTGGGTTAGATTTAGGCATCAAAACTACTTGAAAAGGTTGAGAAGAAGGCCAGGATTTGGTCAAATAATCCATCAGTGTTTGTTTAAGTGTTTATAGGAGACAAACATCTATGTGCGAGAAGATGACAGAGAAAGGCATTTGGACATGTGCAAGATAAAGGCAAATTAAGATGCAGGTGTGGGAATCGCAGGGTATTTCATGATACGATATGATACCTTATACAGCAGTTCTGCGATCATGCGTGTAGTGCAAGACAGCAATTTAATGATACATACCGATATTGAATAATACAAAATTGCACATTATGTAAATTGCAGTATTCATATATTTTTCTCTGCAATGTGTTGTCATTTACACCTCATCACACTTCATCATTACTACTTTATTTCACTTCTGTTTGACATTAGCTAAATGTCTTCTACCATAATTTATTCCTCATCGTAGATAAATCTGTTGACACTGTCCTCATTCACAGTGGCAAGAAAATCAGTTTGGAGCTCAACAGTTAGGACCAGTGATATGGTAATTGTCTGGAAAACTATATATTGCTGTAACAATATTTTGTCCCATCCCTATTCAGAAGGTAACGATCCTGGTTCCTGACACAAAGTGTAGCTGAATGAAAAGATGGAGGAATGAATCAGGAAGCATGATATGGAAGCAGCTAAAATCATTAATCATACATTTACATTCAAAATGACTTTATGGCATCATTTTCACAACTCTGGTTAATCAAGTTAAACCAAAAATGATAGCAGTAAAATCTTAAAGCTCCTGTGAGGAACTTTTGGTGCATGAAGATTTTGGCGTCCCCCTGTGGACAAGGCAGGACTTCTTATCTACCCTTTTGTACTGAAAATGTCTGTGTTTTTTTTTTGACAAAAAGAAAATTAACCCTGCTTTTTGTAACAATCAAATATATCCCTCACCTCAAATAATTACAGACGAAAATGTAAAAATCGTTTGTTACAGTGGATTGCAGTTGATGACTGTCTGGCACCCGCAGCAGTGGTTTCAAGCTTTCAAGTCTTTCTCAACCAGCTAAAACTACTCACAGCTTCTGTCAACTGTTAAGTTATGCAGGTGGATCCCTAGTCTTATTTTGCTTAAATAAGCTGTTGGATCATTCCAGTCAAATTACTAGTCAGGTCTGACAAAGTTGTTGTCAGGATCTTTCAGCACCAGCTTTTCCATCCCATCTCGACTGTGTGAAACTCAATATTCAGTTGTGCAATTGCTTTCCATCGTGACAGCCAGATACCACTAACAAAGCAACCCTACAACCACTTTCTTTAGATTGACAAATACTGAACTAACTTCTAGCTCAGTCTCATAAACAACAACCAGCCAACGGGAAATGTTTTTCTTTATCCAAGCAGATTCTAAAACAGAGTCCTTATCTGTCAGGAGAGCACGTCTATAGGTTAGACGCTTTGTTGTTAGAAAACATTTCATACTCTCTCGTTGAAAAGAGGGTTATGTCAATATTTCTCCTGATTAAGGATTTATTACTGCACATACCCAGAGGAAGATCCTCTGGAGAGTTTTGGCCACAAACACACTGATCACATAGCGTTGTTTGAACCCTGCTGTAGGAGGAAGGGTGACAAAGTTGTGTAACCAACTCTACCTCTTTTGCCTTTGGGGAAAATTCTTACTAGAGCAGTGACACCTGACACTGTAAGTACTGCTGCTTCCAGCAACAGCACAACAACAACAACAACAACAACGGAAAAAGGATTGAGAAATCAAAAAGAAGATATCAGCAGGGACTTGGAGAGAAACTTGACCTTGAACTTGGTTACGCTGCTTGTTTCTTGTTGAACCCTCGTGGTTTCAATTTAAGGATTGATTTCAGACTGAGGGTGACTGTGTTGCCACCACCTGACTGCCAATTCATATGACAAGATAAACAACCGCAGTGTTATTTTTCTGTTAAGTACAGCTGATGCTTGTGTAACACTGCACAAATGTGTAGCAGCAGTGTGTAACTTTGACATCCTCTCAGTGACCTTTAAGGCAGGATAATTCCTTTGTGTTAGTCCGATGAGTCACAGGTTGTTGAACACAATAATATACAAAGTATGGTGCATGTTTGTTTGGTTTAACAACGCCGAGTAGAACATTTTAAGGAGACAGGATAGTGCAAACACAAACACTGTGAATTTTAATCTGACTGACACCCAATCAACACCTCACCCTCCTGGCTCACCACAGCCTCCTCTCTCGTCATTAAGCTGCTTTCTCATTATCCGAGACTTTTTTTCCCCCCTCCCAAAATATCACCTTAATCTCACTACCTTTTCATATTTTTTCATCTATTGTATGTAGGGCTAGAGGATCATACTCCTCTCCACCCTTTTCTCATTTGACTGCTGAAACTCACACTGTCCAATGAGGAGCAGCAATAGCCAGCATGTGGTTGTTACGTGTAGTAGACAAGACACCGGACTCTCGTCTGCAGCTCCTCTGTCTCCACGTTTACACACACTGACGGTCACCTTAGCAATCACAACACCAAATACATAACAAAGTACACCCAATGCTCTCACTCACACACTCACACACTCACACCCACACACTTCAGTAGAGTCTTGCATGTATATTTTTCTCACTTATCAGCTATTTTCTGATGATAGCCAATATTTGAGGGCTTCTGGTGTAGCCAGCTGATACCAAGTCAACTGATACGGATTATCAGGGCACAGACTTCCTCTTCCTTTTGCTCATCATCATTTACAGTCCAACCAACATCATCGGATCCCGCAAGGACGTTTAGGGACATACTTTACAACCAAACAGTCATTTGCACTCATATGCACGAAATTAGTTTGAGGGGATTCATAAAATGCTAAATTGTTATCAGACGATAGCAGATTGGTTCTGTCTTATCCTTCATACAACCCATCTGATTGGTCTATATTGAAAGGAACGACATCAACATTTCCAACACCAGAAATCTTTTCACTGCCTACAGACTCTTATTTAAAGATAATCTTTTCCCCACACTTTAAATATCTATCGGGGAGTCATAGGGCCACACAAATAAACTGTATGGTCAATGGAAATGTGTAGATGAAAATATTCATCATATCACTAGCTGTTTTTTCATCTGAGTAAAGGATTAATTCAAAGGCAAGAACAACTCCTCTTCTTCTTCTACTTCTAAAGACTTAAAATACATTCATAACTTTTTCCCTTTGGATTCTCATCTGCAGGTTCCTCCATTAATGTTGCTGCTTTAGCTGACGTCAGTAGTCTGCTGATGTCACTGACTTTAATCAGCAGCACTGCAGTAGGCACTGCTTATGCAGAACAGGTACACTGCATCACTGAAGCCTTATTCAGGTCTGAATGAATGTCACTACCTGTGTGAGAGATGAGCTCTGCTGCAGCTGCTTACCTCTAGAACACTGACGTCAGCAGTTTGGAACATTAATTCAGCACTTAAGTGTGCAGGCTCACATCTATTGAACCGTTTTGCTTCTTTGCCAACAGTGACCATTAAGATGTGAATACAGTCGCCTGAAACTTGGAGTCTGATGACAGGATTAGAATTTAAATTATGTCCTAGATGTTTAATTTCTATCTACCCACAATTCAAAGTTCATCCTACAAAAAAAGTATATATTGTATCACTTTTACTGAACAAACACAAATGTATAAAATCAATTGTGATTTGTTAATGTGTACAGCTGACATCATAAAACTATATTTGAGTGTTAGATAGCTGATGAGGGTACTTAACAGATCACGATCATAGTATAGGAGGTGTATATTTGAGTTTCAGGCAAGCGGCAGCCTCCAAGCTTGAAAAATGAAGCCAATGCGGAAGTGCAAAATCCTGCAGTTCCTCGAGTGTCCGCTTCAGGCTGGCCCCAGGAACACCAGAAGTCACATACACATGACTGGCAACAAAAGCCATTTTTACAGCCTAAACAAAAATGATTTAAGGACACGTTACATCAAGGTATGGGGGGGGGGGGTGAATTTTGTTTAAACGGCTCCGTTTTG